AAGTCGTGAATAAGTTGTACAAAGCACGACAGCCAGTTTATTTAACTAGTCATTTTTTTTTTGAAATGCATTAAATTGGATAAAATTTTCAGTGACTAGAAAAAAGCTGAAGGTACGCCAAAACTCGCGCCCCAGAAAAAAATGCCATGTAAGGTACGATACCAGGAACATGGAAAAAATGTTAAGAAAATTTTACCTATAAAAATTTCGAAGTTATGAGAGTTTAAAGTTTGCACTTTGACTTTACTTATTACTATTGAAAAAATTATTTTTCAAATTTTTTTGCTACAGGCTATTAGAAGAGGAAACAAGAACGTTGTATCCTAATTTGTAATTCTGTTTAATGCTATTTGTGGCTTTTATTGTCAAAATTTTTGTACCTCTAGTATATAATTATAAAAAAAACATATACAATATCATCAGTATCATTAGGCATAAAAATATCAAACGTCAAAAAGTAAACGTCAAAATTTCTTGACAAATAGACTTTATTAAACATTTTCTTCATGTTCCTGGTATCTTACCTTACTTGAAACTTTTCTATGGGGCGCGAGTTCTGGCGCAGCCTGTATTAGTTTGTGTAGCTGATATTTCAGCAATAAAAATAAGACATTTAACGCCGAAAATCAGTATAATGTAATTACGTTATAACAATACAATAGAATATTATGTAGAGAAGTGATTTTTTTTATAAATAAGTGTTTTTTAGTAACTTTTAAATGTTTACAGAATTTTGGAAAAAAAATTCCGATATTTCCTTAGAAATTATGGGAATTGTTTAAAACTTTTTAAGATAATTTACCAATGAATATACCCATACCCATTTTTTTTAATTATGCAGTAACAATAAACAGTCTAAAAACCAATGATTTTTTAATTGATGCATCAAATTTCACGGTTTTTTATACTAGGCAGTTTTGTCTTAATTTATGCCGTTTTTGCGATGTTATTTCTAGAATTTGATAAAAAATTACTCATTCGAATAAATTTTTGTCAAGACAATTGCATTTAATCTCTCTCAAAAATGTATACAGGGTGCGCCAGAACTCGCGCAACAGAGAAAATTTTCAAGTAAAGTAAGATAGCAAGAACATGAAAAAAATGTTTAAAATATTCACTGTCAAAAAAAGTTGACATTTATTTTTTGACATTTGACATTTTTTTATATCTATTTAAGGATACTGATGATCTTGTATATGTTTTTTTACAATTATTTAGTAAAAGGACAAAAATTTTGCTAATAAAAGCCACAAATAACATTGAACAGAGTTACAATTTAAGATACAGTTTCCTTGTTTCCTCTTTTAATAGCCTATAGCAAAAAAACTTAGAAAATTATTTTTTCAACACTAATAAATAGTCAAAGTGCAAACTTTAAACCCTCATAACTTTTATAGTTTTATAACTTTTATAGATAACATTTTTTCCATGTTCTTGGTAGATACCAGATTACCTTATATAGCATTTTTCTCTGGGGTGCGAGTTCTGGCGCACGCTGTATGTAAGTACTCAAAAATTTTCAAAAATTCTCATTTCAAATATTTTTTTACTCTTAAAAACAATACTCAAATATTCCTCATAAATAGGAAAAAATTACAGTAAGTTCTAAGTAGACCTCAAAAGTCAACAGGATTTTCAGAAAATTCCAAGGAATCTCACAAAATTGAAAGCCAAATTTCTTAGTTCAAGTCTTTCATTTGCAATATTTTTTATAAAATATCAACATTTTATCTTACTTGAAATTTTTCTCTGGGGCACGAGTATTAATTTAAGTGGTAGGCGACGCTAAGTCTAGTTATTTAGGTAAGACGTAATAATAAATTTAGTCGAAAATAAACAAGTCATCAGTTAGTGGGAAAAGATATAAAAGTTGCAAGTGGTGGAGTTCATGGTCCATAGATAGCACCTGTGTCTAAAATTGATTGCTGAAACTAATTCTGAGCTCTATGAAAGTTTGGCTATAAAACTCAAGTTCATAAAGTTTGATGTGGCTTTAAGAGTTTATTTTACGAACTATAGAGATAATCACTTCTGAGCTTACATGTGTACGTCAAGAGCCAAATATTGTCGCTGGAATTTAAACAGTTTAATCTGTTTAACGTCATGTGATGTAAAGATTTATAGTGAAAGTTGGAACTTTTTCAAAAATAACGACGTTTTGCTATAAGTATCGCAAGTTTAAAATTTTTAAACGGGATCAATATTTACGAATGAAGTGTGGAGCGTTTTGATGCGGGTTTAGGTTCCTGACTGGTAAAAATAAAGAAAAGAAAAAATTTATATGTGTTTAATTAATTATTTATTACAAAATACGTCACAGTGTTATACTAGACTTGAAGTTTTGAATTACACTAATGTTGCAAAACTGGTGGATGCGCCGGGATAATTTAAATATAATACCAGAATTTTTCGTGTATTTTTGTGAAACTATACAGATTTACGATAACACGTTTTTGAATTAAGAGTAACTTGTTTTTGTCAAGTTGGACAAACAGTTTTAACAAAATTAAATTTTTTGTCTCAACCTTGTTGCCCAATTTATATTTTTTAATAAACAGAACTATTTTTCTATAAATATGTCATATACAATCACAATCTCAAAAAACATTGTGTTTAATTTTGTTAATCAATATATTTTTTGAGGTATTTCTCAGTGGCTAATTTTTTTGAAGATAAAAATATTGATTTTTGGGGTCATTACAAAAAAAAACAAAAAAAACACGTTTTTTTATTTATTTTGATATTTTATTGTAATGCACATAAAAATACTATTTACCTGAACTGAACTTTTTTCTTAATGCTGTAAAAATCTTATTTTTCCAGTATTTTTAAGTTTTGTATAATAAAAGGGTGTGTTCTCGTCAAAAAAATTAAACCATTTTGACAATTTAAAAACATCAACATTAAAAACAATATTTGTTTTTGTTTTCCTACTTTACGTTTTCTGGTTTTCTTCTTTTTAGATTCTTGTCCGTTAATATCCACGTTTAGTATTTTTTTGATATTCCTATCTTTTGCCAATATTTCGGTCTTTTTACCTTCTGAAACTTCAATTCACGTTTATTAATATTTTATCTTTTTTTTATGCTTTATTTTTACTCGTTTATTACTTTTCTTTATATTTTTTCTGATTTTCTTTAAAATATTTCTGACGTCACTTTGTCTTATTCGCATTTTTCTGTGTTATTCAAATGAAGTTCAAATTTTCTACGTAAACTGTTATTTTCATTATTCCATTTTTTTCTTTTGCTTGCTAACAAATCATGTTTCTATACTTTAAAGCTTCTCTTCGCTTAAGAGTCTTTCTTGCTTAATTTTTTTATTATGTCTTTACAAAAATAAATACAGAGTATCCGGAAAGTCGCGCACCTCCGTGACAACAAGAAAATGTTAAAAAAATCTATCTATAAATATTTCAAAGTTATGAGAGTTTAAATTTTGCACTTTGACTCTATTTATTTTTGTTGAAAAAATAAATCTCCAAGTTTTTTTGCTACAGGCTATTAGAAGAGGAAACAAAGACGTTGTATCCTAAATTGTAACTTTGTTTAATGTTATTTGTGGCTTTTATTGACAAAAATTCTTGTACCTATACTAAATGATTTTAGAAAAAAAATATACAAGATCATCAGCATCATTAAAAAAGCACTGAAAAATGTCAACTGTCAAAAAATAAATGTCAAAATTTTTTTGCCAGAAAATTTTTTCAGTACTCTGCGAGACTACTCCCTTTCACTCAACTTTCCGGACAGCCCTGTATAATTAATTTGATTTAATCATATAAGGTTAAAAAATCAATAATAGTAATTTCCAACTTATATTTTGATAAAAATTGTGAAACAAATTGTATTTTTGTGTTTACTGAATAAAAAACAATATGATAAAAACCTAACAGAAACTTACCTGTAAAATAGATTTTTAATTTTTTAACTATCGAATTTCTACTATACTAAATTTGTGGTTAGTATGGTTAAAAAAGTTAAAAGCGTTTTTTTTTTGTTTGCTGCTTACAGTAATGGATTATCCAAGACAAAGATTGAATGATTCAACAATCAAAATACGTTTTGGGCACAGCTGACGCTTTCAAGCTAAGAAAACAATTTTCGTTTTCAGGTTACCCAACCTCCAGATTGCTTGTTTTTCGTCTTATCAGTTGAGTAAACAAAACTGCCGTTTTTCGTGTTAAGATCAGTCTTCTTTGTTTATTGCCCTATTTAATTATGACAGATGATGTTTGCAATTCTTTCATTTTCACGAAAACATATTTTTGATTGCCTTTAACCGATGAGTTGCTCAAAAAATTAACTAAACTCATGTTTTGTAATGATTTTCCACATTGCAGTTATCAGTTTTTTAAAATTAAATAAAAATGATGTTTTTAAATTACTGTTTTTTTTATGAATTATGTAGAATCATTAGAGATTACTTGAGAATCATAAGGAATTTATGTTCAGCGCAGAATAATGGTAGCATAACTTTTAGTTTTAGTTAGATAAAAATACAAAAATTTATCGATATACAGGGTGCGCCAGAACTCGAGCCCCAAAGAAAATTTTCAAGTAAGGTAAGATACCAGGAACATGAAAAAAATGTTTAAAAAATTCTATCTGTCAAAAAATTTTAACTTTTATTTTTTGACATTTTACATTTTTTGATCTATTTAATGATACTAATGATCTTGTATATGTTTTTTTAGAATTATTTAGTAAAGGGACAAACATCTTGCCAATTAAAGCTACAAATAACATTGAACATTGTTACAATTTAGAATACAGCTTCCTTATTTCCTCTTTTAATAGCCTAGAGCAAAAAAACTTGGAAAATTATTTTTGCAACGGAAATAAATAGAGTCAAAGTGCAAACTTTAAACCCTCATAACTTCGAAATTTTTATAGATATATTTTTTTTTAACATTTTTTGCATGTTCCTGGTATCTTACCTTATATGGCATTTTTCTATGGGGCGCGAGTTCTGGCGCACCGTGTATACAAGACTATTACCTGGATGTACTGCTTCGCTCACAATGGTGAAGGTTAACTCTAATACCAGTAGAAAAAAGGGCACCTGAAACAAAAAAAATGTTAAATTAATTCTAGTGTCAAAAGCATTTCCTTTCAACGTTTTGTCTTAATTTCATCAACAATGTGACATTGACTGATGGTAAAAATTTAAAAAGCAATTTTTAACAACCTTGACTTCTATTAATCATAATGCAAGATATAATCTTTGACTTGCATTAAATAAACTTATTACAAAGTACGAGTATACTATTTTTTTTCTATCAGCAATTTAATAATTTTGATAATTTAATTAATAATTTTAATAATGCTGACAACACATTTTTGAATCCGATAAGATTTGACCACCGTTTCTATCACTTTTTCTTAAATTGTCCATAAAGTAACCAAAAATAGGCTGTAACGTAGTTTTTGCGGACTCTTATATCATTAATTGAAATTGTCAATAAAGTTGACAAAATAGCCCGTAAAGTGTGCACTTTAGTGGCCAACAAAAAAATAAGAGATTTTAACACCACATTCTCTGGTGTTAATAACTTTGGTTAAAAAATTGAATTTCGCACATTTGACAGAATTTTTGTCCACCATTTTTACAGATATAAAAAACTTTTTTCTAAAATCGACCGTAAAGTAACTAAAAATAAATCAGTATTTCGCTGACTCTGTGTTATCAATAATAGAAATCGTCAATAAAGTTGACAAAACAGTCCGTAAAGTGTGGACTTTACTGACCAAAACAGTAAGTCGTATTTGAAATGAGGAATTTTTACACCGCATTTCTAAAGTTTTACTTTCCACATCAGAACTTAAAATTTACCACAACACTTGTGTTGTAAAGTGTTGGTTAATATCTTTCAAGATATTTCACTAATCTTCAGAATAAAAGTAACACATTACTAAAGCAATAATGAGCTGGATTTTTGCCAGTTTTATCTCAAATGTAAATTAAATCCACGTTTACACCTCAAATAAGAAGGTAAAACACTTTTATTAGACATTGTCTTGCTTGAGTTTTGTGATTTTATAATAAAAAGAGCACAAATGCGATCGTAAAACACCATCATTGCTTCATAACGCGGTTTAGAGCAATTCTGCAGAATTAAAACATGCTACAAAATCTAATAAAAAAGCGAATGCTTCTACATCAGACTCCTAAATGAAAATGAATTTATAATGTTATTACAAAAAAGAACCGTATTTTTGGCACATTTTGTTACATCAAAAGTGGGTTTTACACCAATTATTCAATTTATAGTTGCCAAATAATTAGAATTGCACTCAGAATGATAGATTTGCCTATTTCAAAATGGTCATCTGTTTTCTACTATTTTGAGGACATACAAGGTGCGCCAGAAATCGCACCCCAGAGAAAATTTTCAAGTAAAGTAAGATACCAGGAACATTAAAAAAATGTTTAAAAAATCCTCTCTGTCAAAAAATTTTGACATTTACTTTTTGACATTTGACACTTTTTTATATCTATTTAATGATACTGATAATCTTGTATAAGTTTTTTTACAATTATTTACTAAAGGGACCAAAATTTTGCAAATAAAAGCCACAAATAACATTGAACAGAGTTACAATTTAGGAAACAACTTCCTTGTTTCCTCTTTTAATAGCCTATAGCAAAAAAACTTGAAAAAATATTTTTCCAACAGAAATAAATGGAGTCAAAGTGCAAACTTTAAACCCTCATAAATTCGAAATTTTTATAGATAATTTTTTTTTAACATTTTTTCTATGTTCCTTGTATCTTACCTGATATGGCATTTTTTTCTGGGGTACGAGTTCTGGCGCACCCTGTAGTTATTTTCCATAAACCGATTTATTGAACATGATTGATTTTAATAATCACTGAATTTTGTTTGATGACAAATATTTATTTTGGTAACAAGCAAACTTTTTCAAACGTTGTTTAGACAAGCAATTAAACCTGCGCACGCAATAATACCACTACACTAGAAATAAATAAGGAAACAACAGCAGAGGAAGCAAACAAATTCTTCAATATCCGGTCTGGAGCAATTTTAGTTTTGATTTTTCACATAACAACTTTTTTCCACGAAAATAATACGATTTTTGTGTTGAAAGTTAAAGCAATTTAAATGTAAAATAAAAATATAAAATAAAGTGCATTAAAATAATTAAATAAGTTAAAAAATTAATGCTAACGGAGAATCCTTTAAAAATAAACCCTCTCGTGGGAAGCTATTTTATTAAGTTTGTATTCATGAACGCATTTTAAATTTTAATTTATGGAGATTTTTAGCTTAAGCGGTATTAAAATTCTAAAAATAATTAACGCTTTTACTTTAGTCTATTTTCAAACAACCACAAAAGTCTTAATAAACCTAGAGGAATCCTCTAATTGTGACGAGGGTCATATAGTCAATATGTCAAATACACTAGAGGGTAAACTATGTAAATTTAATTGGCACACCAACGTTGACTTCACTATTGCCATGCAATTTACATGTAGAAAACGTGTCGTGACAGATTAAGTATAGATAAGAGTCTGATATTTTCTTACAGGTACGTGCGCTGCTTGATGATCAATACTCTTGCTAAAGATTTCGTAAAGGGGCTAAAACGCCTCAAGAAAAATACCAGAATTTAGGTTACATTTTTAATTGGAAAAAATCAACCAAACAGATAATAGTATCACGAGGAAAGGAAAAAGATTTTTATACCCGAGATGCCTAGCATCGAGGGAAATAATAAATGCGAGTTCTTGACATTTTTTGACATTTTTTTCCATTTTAAAAGGTTTTTTTAAATTATCTTTTTAAATGTTTTAAATCCCCAAAGATTTATCAAGAAATTTCTTGATAAAAAATTAATAAAAATCTTTAGATCTTTTTGAAATTTTCATATCTAAAATTTTCATCCATTTAATAAATTTTAAATAAATATTTTTTAATAAACATGTTTTTGATAATATTTAAATAAGAATCTTGGCTTTAAATTTTGTGGTATTTTTAGATTTTCTGAAAATCCTGATAATTCTTGAGTTTTACTTAAAACTTTTTGTAGTTTTCCTCAATTTACATAATACATAGTTTGGGTATTTTTCAAAATTAGAAAAAAAATGTTTGAGATAAACAATTTTGAAATTTTTATATAATTTTTTAGAATATTTTAGATTTCATTTCTAATAAGCTTAAACTATTTATTTTTTGAAAAAACTAACTAAGGAGTATAAAGAACCATAAATGTGTCAATTTTTTGTTTAGTTTTTAAATTTTGCAAAAATTTTTGACTTTTTTAAATGGTAACTTACTATAAGACTTTTTTTACAAAGGCTATGATCTAAGAATTATTTAATTTTTATCAAAAAAATATTATATATGTATGTAATTTTGAAAAATAATCGCGTAACTCACCTAGCACTTTAATTTTTCTTAATTATTATTTTCTTAAAGCACAATTATTTGCTTGATTCTATACTTTTTGGACACTTTGTATTTATTTACCATTTTAGAAGTTTTTTGTAATTATCCTCTTACATGCTTCAAAATTTCTGAAACAAAACTGAATTTGATTTTCTTCAAGAATTTTTTGGTAGTTTTAGAAATTCTCATATTTAAAAATAATTCTCATTAAATATTTTTTTAATAATTAGGTATTTGTAGATATTTTTATAAAATTACATAAAAAGAAGCATTTATTTTGTATTTCTGAAGATTTTTTATGTTTTTTGAGAGATTTATAGACGCTTTCCAACAACAGACTATTAAAATAGTATATTATATCACAAGATAGAGAAGAGATTTTTTATAGCCTAACTGTTTATTTCCCGAGAAGAATAAAAAATGAGAGGTTATATAAATCTTTTCTACTGTGTTTTATATAAGATTTTTATAATAGTATCACGAGAAACAAAGGAAATTTTTTATACCCAAAATACATCAATTCTCTATCTTCGCAATATAAAATATTTTTTAAAATAACATAGAAACTGCAAAGAAAAGAGAAAAAGTGTTAATTTTTTTTTTATTATCGGTAGTATTTCAACATGATATAACCTTATTTGTTGTTTTGACAGATTCGACAAAGACAGAAAATTTGAGAAGGAGTTATCCTGATGTTTTTTAGTGAAAAAGTCTTTTTTTATTTGTATTTGTATTAATTTTATCTCCAAATGCTTTCGTTAGTATTTGTGATAAAAATAGTTCAAAATAATAATATTTGTAACGATGTAATTCTCTCGAATATCTACCCACCTCTAATCCATTATTGTCCTTGTTTAATAATAAAATCATTATTGATCACTAAGAGAGAAAAACAGCTTTACAACTTTTCGTCAAACTAAATAATACAACTAGTAGTGACCATAAAGTTTATTTTAATAAATAATTTATAGAGAAAAAGATAAAGTGTATAAAATGTTTAAAATGTAATCTCGTGTTTTAAGTCTTTTCAGTGTTTATGGCCGTAACAAGGCGTTATATATTATTATTCAGCAGCTTCAAAGATCAAAGTGTTGAAATGCTCTGTTGTAAGTGATGAAACCGTTACATTAACCCCAAAAAAAATTAATGGATTATTTGACCAAAGCTAAACTGCTTTTATAAAAAAGCACTAAAGATAATATCAAAAACAATAATAACATAAATCAGTTATTTTTATTATCACATTGTTGCTGATGATGTTTTATGATGTAAATTAGCTTTTTGAAACGACTGATTTTTAATCCTGTTTTTTTAAAATGTGTACCAATGTCATGTATGAAAAACCTTGTAGGGATTTTAAAGTAATTACTGACGAGCGGATTAGTGATGTAAATGCGACAGGATATTTATTTTTTAGTGAAGCCCAGTTTTGTTGTAATTTTTAAGAAGAATTGAGGTAAAATGAAATAAACATTTCTGACTCGAGATAAGTATACACAAATGAAAATAATTGTATATTTTTATTAACAATGTACTTGTATCAAACTCAAAGCTCGATAATAATTTAAAATGAGCATGTAAAAATAGTTGTGGGATTGCGTGGTAATCGATTTAATTGGGTTGGCAATAGTAAGCGAGTCTGATAGGGAAC